CCCCCCCCCTCACCGACACTGCACAATAACTTTAGTCGTGTTTCTCTTACTCTCATTGTCCTCAACTCACCAACGAAACCGTTGGCCATGGCCAATCAAAGAGAAGGACAGAATGTTCTGTGAACATTTTGTTATAAGTCACATTCGAACTGACGTAAATTACTTGATTTCGTGCTTGTTTCATATAATTTATAATTTGTATAGCGCTATTTTCTGTTCAACATCTAGCCCTCTGTGCTCTACAATCAATACTTACAACAGCTGCAGAAAGCTGTGCAAACTGGCAGAGTATATTCTGTGCTTCCTCCCTCTAGGTCGGGAGTTTCCAAATCCCATCTTGTGTGGAAGCCACAAGTACATTTCCCTTCACCGTGTCAGTGTGAGGTCAAACTTGCTTCAACTAACGAGATTTCAATGCAGGAAGTCTAATAAAGTACTTTTTGGGTTAATACGAAAGCAATACATTGTACTTCGCTGCTGTATTGATAAGTCTTCGGCTGTCTATCTTTATCGATGATGACTAAAGCAGTGAGCATGGTACAGCTTTGGTAGGGTGGTAGACTTAGAGGAAGCAGACTGGCCATGTACCAAGTACTGCACCCCTCCCTTCAGTATACATGATGTACTCTAAATGAGAGACATTAGGATCAGAATGTTTGGCATCAGGGAAGGTGCAAGTGTGTGCCTTGCTGTTTACAGGTGTGACAGAAGCGACTATTCTGTATGACAATATTGGTCAGACAAAATATCAGCACGTCATTTCCGTATGTGGTCTGGTGGTTCAGCTTTAACCTCGTATGTTAAAGACAGGAGTGCCAATCCAACACGGAGCAGAGAGATTGCTTTTGGAGCACCACTTCAGCCTTACTGATGGATAGAATGTTTTGCAGAGCGAGTTGGCCTTGACTGACAATGATCGAAGAAGCCCGACTTCTAAATCGTGATCTAAATCGTGTCGATGGTGGCGTAATTACAACCTAATTGTGATCTAAACTGTGTGGATGGGGGCGTATTTACAACATTTACCCTTCGGCTTCCCCTCGTCCCCTAGCGTAGCGCGTGAATGAGGCAGGGAGACAAGAGGTCGATTTTGTCTCAAATAACTGCGCCTCCTCAACGCCACAACAGAGCAGTTTTTCAAAGAGTGTGTCAACTTCGCCTTCAATTCATTTCACACTTTCTATTCTGTCAGGGGCCCGCTGTCTCATTTGTCAGTCTCCCGCCCGGCTCGCGCTGTTTCTTTGCCGGCCTCGCTAATTACACACGGCTATGAAAATCTTCTTTTCACAGTAGCGAGAAGGGAAAGATGACGAGTATCCGTTTACCGGGCGCCCATTTTACCCCGCGTGTTGACTTTTCGCAAATTCACATAAGTTCATCCGCTGCCCAAAGAGGGTTCGGGTTACCCCCGACCTCCCCTCGACCCCTCCCCTCTCCCGTGTGCCATCCACACGACGCCCTTTGCCTTCTTTACTCACTCACGGGGCAGACTTGTTGGCAAACAAACTGCAAAGGAAGGATCAGGTGGGTGGGGGTGAGGGGAGGGCAGAGGGGTGCATATGATGTGCTACAACATGTCTGTATAGCTCTGTGCTTTCTTTTTGAGGGGGAGGGAGGAGGCATGTTGTTTAACGGAGTGGAGAGAGGGAATCTTGGGTGAGGGAAAGGGGGGGTGAGGGTATCAGTAGTATCCTGTTGTTCACACATTATACCAATATGAAGTTGTAGCACTGTATTTCAGCTGGAGTGACCGGACATTGAACATGAAAACAACAACAACAACAACAACAACAACAACAACAACAACAGCAACAAAAAAACAAACAAAACAAATACAAAAACAGGAGGCATACGAAGCAATGCTGCTGTTGCTGCTGCTGCTGCTGCTGATGATGATGATGATTATGTAGAACATGAACAGGGACAACCCAGGCTGAGTGGGAAACAGTATCCCATACGAAGACGGAGATTGTTGCGAAAAAACCCCACCCTTATCCGCATAGGATTGGAACTCAGGTCTTCTGCGCACGACTGCTAAGAGCCTGACCCTTGCACCATAGAGGCCAATGGACCCCCTCACCCCTCTCTCCCTCCCCTCTCTTCCTCCCCTCCCTTCTTCCCTCCCCAACTCCCCCAATGCAGAAAGGATGATGAATAATTCTTTTTAAAAAAGCATTTTGCCCCACCTCAAACACCCGACAGAATTCTGTTACCTTAAAAGGCCCATCAAGAGAGGAGCAAAACGTCTCTGTAATAGGTTTTCTTTTTCAACCCTCTAAACTGTTCTTCGTTCTTTGCCCTTTCTTTTTGCCCGGGCTGTGACAATAATGAATGAGCTGAACTGACTCAAAATGTAAACGAACATTACGCAACAATTTTTCTTTTCTTTATCTCCGAAAAACCAAAACTCACTTAAACTAAAAGAATAAAAAAAGGTCCCGCCTCTTCCCCCCTACAAAAACCCAACCCAAAACATACACACTACCCCCCACCCAAAAAAAATAAAAAAATTTTTTAAATAAATAAAATGAAACT